TCTGGATCCAATCTAGCATGAAAACAATCTGGATCCAAACTAGCATGAAAACAGTCTGGATCCAAACTAGCGTGAAAACAGTCTGGATCCAAACTAGCGTGAAAACAGTCTGGATTCAAACTAGCGTGAAAACAGTCTGGATCCAAACTAGCGTGAAAACAGTCTGGATCCAAACTAGCGTGAAAACAGTCTGGATCCAAACTAGCGTGAAAACAATCTGGATCCAAACTAGTGTGAAAACAGTCTGGATTCAAACTAGCGTGAAAACAGTCTGGATCCAAACTAGCGTGAAAACAGTCTGGATCCAAACTAGCGTGAAAACAGTCTGGATCCAAACTAGCGTGAAAACAGTCTGGATCCAGACTAGCGTGAAAACAGTCTGGATCCAAACTAGCGTGAAAACAGTCTGGATCCAAACTAGCGTGAAAACAATCTGGATCCAAACTAACATGAAAACAGTCTGGATCCAGACTAGCATGAAAACAATCTGGATCCAAACTAGCGTAAAAACAGTCTGGATCCAAACCAGCGTGAAAACAGTCTGGATCCAGACTAGCATGAAAACAGTCTGGATCCAAACTAGCGTGAAAACAGTCTGGATCCAAACTAGCGCGAAAACAGTCTGGATCCAAACTAGCGTGAAAACAGTCTGGATCCAAACTAGCGTGAAAACAGTCTGGATCCAAACTAACATGAAAACAATCTGGATCCAAACTAGCATGAAAACAGTCTGGATCCAGACTAGCATGAAAACAGTCTGGATCCAAACTAGCATGAAAACAGTCTGGATCCAAACTAGCGTGAAAACAGTCTGGATCCAAACTAGCATGAAAACAGTCTGGATTCAAACTAGCATGAAAACAGTCTGGATCCAAACTAGCGTGAAAACAGTCTGGATCCAAACTAACATGAAAACAATCTGGATCCAAACTAGCATGAAAACAGTCTGGATCCAGACTAGCATGAAAACAGTCTGGATCCAAACTAGCGTGAAAACAGTCTGGATCCAAACTAGCGTGAAAACAGTCTGGATCCAAACTAGCGTGAAAACAGTCTGGATCCAAACTAGCGTGAAAACAGTCTGGATCCAGACTAGCGTGAAAACAGTCTGGATCCAAACTAGCGTGAAAACAATCTGGATCCAAACTAACATGAAAACAGTCTGGATCCAGACTAGCATGAAAACAGTCTGGATCCAAACTAGCATGAAAACAGTCTGGATCCAAACTAGCATGAAAACAGTCTGGATCCAAACTAGCGTGAAAACAGTCTGGATCCAAACTAACATGAAAACAATCTGGATCCAAACTAGCGTGAAAACAGTCTGGATCCAGACTAGCATGAAAACAGTCTGGATCCAAACTAGCGTGAAAACAGTCTGGATCCAAACTAGCGTGAAAACAGTCTGGATCCAAACTAGCGTGAAAACAGTCTGGATCCAGACTAGCATGAAAACAGTCTGGATCCAAACTAGCATGAAAACAGTCTGGATCCAAACTAGCGTGAAATAGTCTGGATCCAAACTAGCGTGAAAACAGTCTGGATCCAAACTAGCATGAAAACAGTCTGGATCCAAACTAGCATGAAAACAGTCTGGATCCAGACTAGCATGAAAACAGTCTGGATCCAAACTAGCGTGAAAACAGTCTGGATCCAAACTAGCGTGAAAACAGTCTGGATTCAAACTAGCGTGAAAACAGTCTGGATCCAAACTAGCGTGAAAACAGTCTGGATCCAAACTAGCGTGAAAACAGTCTGGATCCAAACTAGCGTGAAAACAGTCTGGATCCAAACTAGCGTGAAAACAGTCTGGATCCAAACTAGCGTGAAAACAGTCTGGATCCAAACTAGCGTGAAAACAGTCTGGATTCAAACTAGCATGAAAACAGTCTGGATCCAAACTAGCGTGAAAACAGTCTGGATCCAGACTAGCATGAAAACAGTCTGGATCCAAACTAGCGTCAAAACAGTCTGGATCCAAACTAGCATGAAAACAGTCTGGATCCAAACTAGCGTGAAAACAGTCTGGATCCAAACTAGCGTGAAAACAGTCTGGATCCAAACTAGCGTGAAAACAGTCTGGATCCAAACTAGCGTGAAAACAATCTGGATCCAAACTAGCGTGAAAACAATCTGGATTCAAACTAGCATGAAAACAATCTGGATCCAATCTAGCATGAAAACAATCTGGATCCAAACTAGCATGAAAACAGTCTGGATTCAAACTAGCGTGAAAACAGTCTGGATCCAAACTAGCGTGAAAACAGTCTGGATCCAAACTAGCGTGAAAACAGTCTGGATCCAAACTAGCGTGAAAACAATCTGGATCCAAACTAGCGTAAAAACAGTCTGGATCCAAACTAACATGAAAACAATCTGGATCCAAACTAGCATGAAAACAGTCTGGATCCAGACTAGCATGAAAACAGTCTGGATCCAAACTAGCATGAAAACAGTCTGGATCCAAACTAACATGAAAACAATCTGGATCCAAACTAGCATGAAAACAGTCTGGATCCAGACTAGCATGAAAACAGTCTGGATCCAAACTAGCATGAAAACAGTCTGGATCCAAACTAGCGTGAAAACAGTCTGGATCCAAACTAACATGAAAACAATCTGGATCCAATCTAGCATGAAAACAATCTGGATCCAAACTAGCATGAAAAAAGTCTGGATCCAGACTAGCATGAAAACAGTCTGGATCCAAACTAGCGTGAAAACAGTCTGGATCCAAACTAGCGTGAAAACAGTCTGGATTCAAACTAGCGTGAAAACAGTCTGGATCCAAACTAGCGTGAAAACAGTCTGGATCCAAACTAGCGTGAAAACAGTCTGGATCCAAACTAGCGTGAAAACAATCTGGATCCCAACTAGCGTGAAAACAGTCTGGATTCAAACTAGCATGAAAACAGTCTGGATCCAAACTAGCGTGAAAACAGTCTGGATCCAAACTAGCGTGAAAACAGTCTGGATCCAAACTAGCGTGAAAACAGTCTGGATCCAAACTAGCATGAAAACAGTCTGGATCCAAACTAGCGTGAAAACAGTCTGGATCCAAACTAGCGTGAAAACAGTCTGGATCCAAACTGACATGAAAACAATCTGGATCCAAACTAGCATGAAAACAGTCTGGATCCAGACTAGCATGAAAACAGTCTGGATCCAAACTAGCATGAAAACAGTCTGGATCCAAACTAACATGAAAACAATCTGGATCCAAACTAGCATGAAAACAGTCTGGATCCAGACTAGCATGAAAACAGTCTGGATCCAAACTAGCATGAAAACAGTCTGGATCCAAACTAGCGTGAAAACAGTCTGGATCCAAACTAACATGAAAACAATCTGGATCCAATCTAGCATGAAAACAATCTGGATCCAAACTAGCATGAAAACAGTCTGGATTCAAACTAGCGTGAAAACAGTCTGGATTCAAACTAGCGTGAAAACAGTCTGGATCCAAACTAGCGTGAAAACAGTCTGGATCCAAACTAGCGTGAAAACAGTCTGGATCCAAACTAGCGTGAAAACAATCTGGATCCAAACTAGCGTGAAAACAGTCTGGATCCAAACTAGCATGAAAACAGTCTGGATCCAAACTAGCGTGAAAACAGTCTGGATCCAAACTAGCGTGAAAACAGTCTGGATCCAAACTAGCGTGAAAACAGTCTGGATCCAAACTAGCGTGAAAACAGTCTGGATCCAAACTAGCGTGAAAACAGTCTGGATCCAAACTAGCGTGAAAACAGTCTTGATCCAGACTAGCGTGAAAACAGTCTGGATCCAAACTAGCGTGAAAACAGTCTGGATCCAAACTAGCGTGAAAACAATCTGGATCCAAACTAACATGAAAACAGTCTGGATCCAGACTAGCATGAAAACAGTCTGGATCCAAACTAGCGTAAAAACAGTCTGGATCCAAACCAGCGTGAAAACAGTCTGGATCCAAACTAGCATGAAAACAGTCTGGATCCAAACTAACATGAAAACAATCTGGATCCAAACTAGCATGAAAACAGTCTGGATCCAGACTAGCATGAAAACAGTCTGGATCCAAACTAGCATGAAAACAGTCTGGATCCAAACTAGCGTGAAAACAGTCTGGATCCAAACTAGCATGAAAACAGTCTGGATCCAAACTAGCGTGAAAACAGTCTGGATCCAAACTAGCATGAAAACAGTCTGGATCCAAACTAGCATGAAAACAGTCTGGATCCAAACTAGCGTGAAAACAGTCTGGATCCAAACTAACATGAAAACAATCTGGATCCAAACTAGCATGAAAACAGTCTGGATCCAGACTAGCATGAAAACAGTCTGGATCCAAACTAGCATGAAAACAGTCTGGATCCAAACTAACATGAAAACAATCTGGATCCAAACTAGCATGAAAACAGTCTGGATCCAGACTAGCATGAAAACAGTCTGGATCCAAACTAGCGTGAAAACAGTCTGGATCCAAACTAGCGTGAAAACAGTCTGGATCCAAACTAGCGTGAAAACAGTCTGGATCCAAACTAGCGTGAAAACAATCTGGATCCAAACTAGCGTGAAAACAGTCTGGATTCAAACTAGCGTGAAAACAGTCTGGATCCAAACTAGCGTGAAAACAGTCTGGATCCAGACTAGCATGAAAACAGTCTGGATCCAAACTAGCGTCAAAACAGTCTGGATCCAAACTAGCATGAAAACAGTCTGGATCCAAACTAGCGTGAAAACAGTCTGGATCCAAACTAGCGTGAAAACAGTCTGGATCCAAACTAGCGTGAAAACAGTCTGGATCCAAACTAGCGTGAAAACAATCTGGATCCAAACTAGCGTGAAAACAATCTGGATTCAAACTAGCATGAAAACAATCTGGATCCAATCTAGCATGAAAACAATCTGGATCCAAACTAGCATGAAAACAGTCTGTATCCAGTCTAGCTAGCTAGCTAACAGCTTTTAGGTGCCCGGTGTTTTAGGTTTTGCAGCATGTTTAGCTGTGCGGCTCCTACCTGGTTCCTCTCTGAGTTTGAGGTGTTGTGTGAAGACATGGACGAAGCAAAGACGGGGTGCTGGCGGGCCGAGAAAGGAGACGCCGACGGCTGAATGAGAGGAGGCGTGTGGCCGAAGGCGTTCAGGGGTCTCTGCTGGGCCAGCAGCTGCTGGTAGGCCACAGGGTTGATGGGATGGGGGAAGCTGAAGGTGGGGCTGCATGGCAACAGGAGAACATTCAGGATGAGAGGATAGAAATGAAGGTCAGCCTGCTTAGATCAATGTACACAGAGGTCAGGGTTGTCCTGGACCTTTAGACCGGCCTAAACGAAGCTTCAAAGACCTTCAGAAACCCTGAACAATGACTGACTGTCTGCTGGAGGGAGGTCCTGACATGCTAGTAGCTCCTCTCTGTTCGTTGACATTCCCACCTGATTCCTCCCACTGAAAGGTGTCCGTAGGAGCTGCTGGCAGCGGAGCTGGAGCGGGAGTTGTTGATGTAGGCCACCAGGGAGTTCGGTGAGGTCCGGATCATGGTCTGCAGGTCGATGCTGGCGTCTGACAGCGGCGAGATGGACAGCGCCCTCTTCCTGTTCAGCCGCGGTGTCAGCCTTGGACTGGAGAAACGGGAGACTGGACGGGGACAAAACGGAGACATGATGAGACCTTAGAACCGCTTCAGGCTACCTGGACCAGAATGGAGGGTTTTTCTCCAAACCACCAAACTCAGACGTGTTCATCAGCTGATCGGACACTTTAGATTTAATGGTAGTGATACAGATGGAGAAACTGCCCCTGGGACCAGGACCTTGGACCAGGACCTTGGACCAGGACCTTGCCAAGAACTAACATAAGCACCGTGGACAAGGACTCTGAACCAGAACCTTGGAACGGCTCCAGAGATGAGAACCTTGGACCAGAACCGGAGTTCTGTCAGACCAGCATACCTATAGTCAATAAGCAAGACGTCAGATTTTAAACTACCTCACCGGGCGTGTATCCCTTTAGTCATGTAAAAAAAAAAAAAAACTATTTAAGGACAGATTGTTTGGAAGAAAATGTCTAATTGAAATCTGCCTTTTTTGTTTACCAAATTTTAAACACTGAATTTTTTTAAACATTGAATTCCTTACACCGAATTTCAGCTGCAAAAAATATTGACCTTTTGGTAAACTCAAGCCAAAGCAATCTACACTCAATCAGCAGCTTCCAGCCAATGAAATTAGCTCATTTTGTCAGAAAAAAAAGGAAGTTTGCCGCCGGCCGCTTCCTCTAGCCTGGTGAGACCATCCTGATCTCGCAAGCTTTCAAGAATTCACTCGCAGATCAGTCCGGAGACTCTCCGTTAAAGAAAATTTGGAGCCGTTCACCAAACGAACGTCCAATCAGCGTTGGCTTTGAGGCGGGTTGAGGTGTGACGCAACGAGAAGCGCGACAGTTCAGTCTAAAGAACATGGCGGCTTCAGCCGATGAAACTAGCGTTAGCGTGGCTATCGAGCAAGTTTTATGGGAATTACAGAGTATTTCTTCACTGAAAGAAGAGCAAAACACTGCTCTGGAGGCTTTTCTCAGAGGAAAAGATGTTTTTGCTCTTCTCCCGACTGGTTTCGGCAAGAGTTTGATCTATCAAGTGGCTCCTCTTCGTCGTCGCTCTGTTAGTACGTCATATGCTTCGTTGATCTGATTGGTTTATTTGGCCCGTCTATCACCAACATAGGCCAATCAGCTAACCAGTATTTTCGCCCCTTCCCAAAATTACTTCAACGGAAGGTTTCCAGATGGATATGTGGAGCAAATCCATCTAGATTTACGCAGGTTACGCTTCATCCAGATCAAACCAAGAGCCTTGACAGACGGGGGTGCTGCACTGTGATTGGCTCGGTTATTTCACCCAGTCGATTAGATGAAAAACTCTAATGGCTGTCTTTTAGTAGCTACCTGACATTTTGTAATCATATCTATTTAACAAGAAAAACTAATTCAGCTTCATTCGGCCACAAGCAAAGCTACGTCCAACTGTTGTGTCACGTGACCAAATGGGCTAATTTCATTGGCTAGAAGCTGCTCAACTGCATGGAGTGTAGATTGCTTTGGCTCAAGTTCAGGTCAACACATTTGCAGACGAATTTTTCTCAAACAAATTTTTACCAGATATAAATTCAATGTGAGGAATTCAATGGGTAAAAAAATTCAGTGTTTTAAATTCGGTGAGGCAGATTCCAATGAGGCTGTTTTTCTTCCATAAAATCGCCATAAGCTTAAAACAATACCAAAAAGTAAATCATTAAATAGTTTTGTTGTACATGACTAAAGGGATCAAGTAGTTTATTAGTCTATTTTTCATATAAAACTAAAGAAATAAACGGGAACTGACTGTGGGTATGCTCATCTGACAGAACACGGTTCTGGTTTCCTAATATTTAGAGAAGAGTTTTGGATCTGAATGTTAAACCAGAACCTTGGATCAGAACTGGATCTGGTCCCTGCAGAAGCCTTCTCCAATCTGCCCCTCTCTCTCCAAGCGTAGCCCCTCGTCATTAGAGTGATAGAAATCTGTCTCAGTCCTGGAGCGAAGTTAATGGAGGCAATTTAATCAGACTGATTAGAACAGAACAAAGGTTCTGTTCAGAACCATCGAGGAAACCCGTCTCTGTAGAAATCAAACATAAACACATCAGGCTGACCTCCGTCTTACAAACGCTTTGCCCCTCAAACCGTGAGCAGCTCCACAGATCGGACCAGCAGACGCTGCAGCCCGACTGCTGGGAGTTTCTGAGGATCAGAGGTGCGAGAGGCAGGAAACGCTTTATGGGGCCGTCACAGTTTCCCTTCCTACCTGACACCCACCAACATGGCAGCCGCTCCGCCGGCAGCTCACGGCGCCTCCGGCTACAATCATTCAGGCGTAATCACAGCGGCTGCTGGGCTGCAACAGTTGGAGGTGGCGAGTCGTAAACTGCCGACATGTGCACTCAGTTAAAGGGCCCCTGGGAACGTCTGACGGCAGACAACATGGAGAGGGGGGGGCGGGGCGTAGAGGAAAAAACAAAAAGTGCTGAAAATTACAGAGGAGTGAATGAAAGAGTCGTCAGGAACAACGAGCCGTTCAGGATGGCGTTTGGTTAGTTGGAAATAAATGAACGGGTATGGCACGGTCAGGGAGGGGGCTCTGAGCGTAACCCCACCCTGCCTGAGGACGGCCGCCATTTATTTTTACAATAACCCGTCCTGCCAGCAGGACTTAACAGAAGATGTGTGCATTAATGCATCCCTTCATGAAGAAGGAAACGGCCTCATGGCTTGGTAGCCTGGCGCCGCCCCCGCCCCCTTTGGGCACGTTCCCAAAATCTGCCCTGCACCTCCAATCTTACAGCCATCCTTAGATCTTTCCAGCACAGCTTCTCCACCCGCCACTGACTGATCAGGCTGCTGGGGGAGTTCAACCTGGTCTGAACGTCTCCATCACAACAGACGGAATGTTTTATAGGTGGAGGTTATAATTGAAAGGGCGAACATGTTCTGGCACCGAGTGAGAAAACAGATGTTGCTCAGGCCGAGGCGGTGCAGCCGTGCGCGCTCCGCAGTGTGAGTACGCATGCGTGCTGCGTTGCTATGTGGGGCCGAGTCACGGCTGGTTGTAATTGTGGGATCTGGATTTATATAGAGAGACGTAATTACACACTGATACAGCAGAGAGAGGAAAAATATTTAAAAAGGACCGCAGAGAGGAGGTATGTGCTCAGGTTTTTTTTTCAAGCAGTGTGCTTTAGCGATTTAAAGGGGAACCTTAATTGGAGGTTATCCCCTGGGGGCCCATAAACCCCCCCCCGTGGATGCCGTGGCAAAAAATTTCTAATAACACAGACGTCCCGAGATTCTAAAAACACTGAGAAACTGGACAGCAGGAGCAAAGCTGCTCTGCTAACCAGGTGCAGATCCAACAGGTGGTCAGTTTTTATCTGTGTGGATGGAGCTTTGGCCCCCAGTCTGTGAGGGTTACTGGAACAAAGACACCAGACGGTCTGTGACCATATTAGGACTGACAGAAATAAAGTCAGAAGAAAAAAAGCAAGAAAGAAAAATGTCAAGGTGGGAAAGAAAAAAAGAACCCCTTGAGGGGAACGGAGGGGGGCGGTGATGAGCCCTAAAGGAAAAAAAACGGGAAAGGGTCGCAGAAAAAAACCATCAAAACCAAAAGAGGTTTGATGGTGAGGGTATATGGAGGGAAAGGGTTTTGGAGGGATAGGGATGGATGAGGGAGGATGGATGGATGGATGGATGTTTGGTTTGGAGGGAATGGATGAGGATGGATGGGGATGGATGAGTATGGATGAGTTTTGGTTTTGGATGTTTGGTTTGGATGAGGGTTTAAAGGAGGATGGTTGGTTTAAATGATGGAAGGATGATGTTTGGATGGATTTTGGAGGGAAAGGGAGGGGTTTGGATGATGGATGGAGGGAAAGGATAAGGTGGATTGATGAGGGAGGGAAAGGAGGGAAGATTGAGGGAGGGAAAGATGGATGAGGGAAAGGGGATAAAAGGAGGGATGGATGAGGGATGGATGTTTTGGATGGATAAGGGAAAGGTTTATATAAATGAAGGGAAATGGATGGATGGATGATGGATGGATGATGGATGATGGATGGATGGATGATGGGGGATGGATGATGGATGGATGGTTTGGATGATTGATGGAGGGATGGATGAGGGAGGGATGGATGGTGGATGAGGGAAGGATGATGAGGATGGAGGGGGATAGGGGAATGGAGGGATGGATGATGGAGGGATAAATGGATGGATTTTTGGATAAAGGAGGGAGGGATGGATGATGGAGGGATGATGGAGGGAGGGGATGAGGGGGGAGGTTTTTGGAATGGATGGATGATGGATGGATGGTTGGAGGGGGTTGATGGATGGATATTTTTTTGGAGGGGATGATGGATGGATGATGGATGAGGGATGGAGGGTTTGGGAGGGAAAGGGATGGATATATTTTGGGAAATGGATGATGGAGGGAGGGAAAGGGAGGATGTTTGATGGATGGAGGGAGGATGAGGGATGATGGTGGATGAGGGATGGATGGTTTGATGGATGGATAGGGGGGGGATATGGATGGATGGATAGGGAGGGATGATGGAGGGGGATGGATGGTTTGATGGATGGATGATGGAGGGATGGATGGGTGATGGAGGGATGGATGGAGGGAAGGGAGGGATGGATATATGGATATGGAGGGAAATGGATGATGGATGGATTATGGATTGGTTTAGGGATGGATGGAGGGAGGGTTGGATGGATGGATTGGGAGGGAGGGAGGGATGAGGGATGGATGATGGATGGTTGGGGGATGGGATGGTTTAAAATTGGATGATGGATGTTTGGGATGGTTTGTTTAAATGGATGGATAGGGGGGAAATGGAGGGAGGGATGGGGGAGGGATGGATGGATGATGGATGGGAGGGAGGTGGGATGGATGATGGAGGGAGGGATGATGGAGGGATGAGGGAGGGGATATGGATGGGGTTGGATGAGGGGATGGATGAGGGAGGATGGAGGGAAATAAAGGGATGGAGGGAAATATGGATGGATAAAGGTTTGGAGGGGATGATGGATGGTTTGGATGGTTTGGATGG